AGCTGTTGAAGTTATTGTCACTGACTTTACTGTGGGGATTTTTAGAAGAGGGAATATTTTTATAGACTCAGTGAGATAATAGAGAATTTACCAATGGAAGGAATGTCTAAAGATAGAAATGCTTCATACAGACTGAATGAGAAAACCTAGTATTGGAAAGAACCTGTCCCCTATTCTCTAAAGGTGGGGCAATGATGAGCCGGTTATTTATGAATCTAAAGGTTACAAACAGAAATATCGTCCAGGCCTCGGCATCTGAAACATAATTAATTGTCCATGTTCGTTTTTTTTATGAACAAATTTAACTGCCACCTATGAGTATGTGTTTGCAACGCTGCTTGTCTGTCATTACAGATTACTGTAAATTTAGTTCTGATGTGGATATAGAGACACTTTATGCGTCCATTTGTGAAGCTGCTGGATAAAACATTTCAGGTTACATTTTTGAATGACTGTTTCTCTTCATCTGACTGTAAGCGTCTGGCACTCACTGAAATAATGATTTAATACATTGAGCAATTGCAAGACAACCCTTGGAGACGCATGTACAGATTAAATCAGGATGATGCGCCATAAAAGATTATAATGAGACTTTGGCAATAGGTAGAGCTGTTGCAACATGAAAACTTTGAGCGACCCAAATTCAGTGCTCAACCTGACTCAGCTGCAAGTTTTCCTCCTTGCAGAAATCTCTAATATTTCCAGATAGTTGTTATTGACCATGGGTATTCATGCAGATTATATATTTCTGTTGCACTTATGTGGCCTCTGAGTGTTTTCTAGTTATTTGATCACTTATTTGCACTTCACCTGAAACTTCTGGACTACTTGTAACAATGACCACCTCTTAAACAAGGTCATTTCTGCTTCTGCAAAGTCCGGTTTACGTGCAACACAAACACATGAAAACTGTAGCCCCGTGAGATCCGCCATCCAGGTTCAGGAGGGTTAGGGTTTGGATGGTCGACTAATACAATGACGGTCAGGTTGCCTAGCATGTGAAGCAAACTTGGCACTCATGTGTGAACGCTGTTTTAGTGGATGAGGCCACATGCTCCTTTGTTCCAAATACAAAAGAGAGCCATTGATATTTTAATATTAATTTATTGTCGATGTTGAATTGCCCGAAAATTGATCAACTTACAAAGGCCCAACACTATGCACATGAAGAATGCTGTGTAACAGGACACTGGTGTTTCTAATCAGCCACAACTAAGTTGAACATGAGGGAGTGGGAAACAAAGGGTTTATTGTTGCCTCCGTCGAGGGGGTTGTTTTTTCCATGTTTGTCTGTCAGTTAAAGAAATATCTCAAAAACTAATAAGCGGAGTGGAAAGTTGGACTTTTGTTCAAGACGGAACAAATGGAAACAGATTTTTTTCTTCTTTTTCCTTTGTTCTGTCTTAATTCTTAAACGTGCTGTGCAATTTCATCCACATTTGTATGACGTCTGCAACTTCAAATGATCTTGCAAAATAATGTGATGAATGTAGGACATAAAGCATCTCAGTATACTTCCTAAACATGAACAAATGTCTTCAAATTTACTAACATACAAATGTAGAGGACAACAATTTATTACAAAATATGGGTCCACATACTGTATATGTGTATACAACACCTTATTGAAATCAGCCTAACCTATTATATCAGCTGGTGTCCTAGAATGAATAGAAATATTTGTAATATTTCTTTGAGGTGTGGATGGCATGTGGCACAGCTTCTCACTGGATATTGCGTCTCATATGACTCTCACACAAGCAGCGTTGGTACAAACAACACAGTTAGGTGACTGACATCACACAGGACAGAAAGGTGCTTTCCTGCACATAAGCCTCTATCACTCTTAAGCTTGTCCTTGAACAGCTCTGTGTGGTCTCCTACTTGGAGACCACACAGAGCTGTTCACAGCTGTAACTCTGTACCTGACAATAATGATCTTAATCAATGGTTATCACCAACAGTAATCTCACTCAGAGAAGAAGGTAAGGGTCAACAGGATCTTCACGTAAGCCTGTATCTCAATTTTCCTTCCTACATCCCCTATCTTTATCGTTTATCCTTGAATGCGTTCATGCAGTTTTGGGGTTCCGTGTCATCAGAGCAACAGTAGAACAATCATGAGCTTACATTCCTAGTTGGGGCAAAAGAAAAAAATAAGGTTTTTGATGTTTCATGTGGCAAAGGCTTGTATTGTAACAGCTGGTTTTATTGACTGTCTCATCTGAGAGAACCACGCGGTGATGACCACTGACATCAGAGAATAGCCAGCTGAAAATAACTAACCCACACCAAAGCCGTTTCCTGCTCGATTGTTTTCTGTTCACTGCCAGCTGAGAAGAAAACTGCGGCAATGTGACCTAAATCCCATAAACCTGAAGGAGATGCTAATGAGGGAACTGAACCACAGAAACAGACACCAATAATATATTAAACCTACTGCTAGTTAGTCAAAGGTCACATTTGATTTACACTCAACACACACTGTTTGAGACATGATCCTGTTTTCTGAAACAATTGTACTACACCTGGAAACTGTTATTACCTCTATAAGCGTCACTATGATGATTCTCATGATAACAATATATCAGCCTATAGAGCCCCTTCACAATGTTACACACTGGACCTTTAATTATAATGGATAAATCTTTCAACAAAGAAATCAGCATCACCATTAAATGCATGATCCAAAGCACACAGTAACACAAAACACTTTAAGTGTTCAAAATTATAATTACTCCGGTCTTAACACCAGGATGTTGACCACCAAGTGAAACAGGAAGTTGCCACAGAATCTTTGCGAATCATGAGGCTTTTTGTAGATGAAGCCAAACAGGATATAGATAAGAGCTGAGAAATTAAATCAATTTAACACAATAAAACCTAATGTGAGTGTCATTTTTCCTATATAGGATTTTATTACAAAATATAATATTCATCATGATTTGTGACAAACGCTGACAGTTAGGGTTCCACTTCTAGATCCAAGGAGAATTGAGAATAAATGGAGCTGCATTACTTTTTACTAAGAATATATTTATAAACCTGGGTATAGGAGAAAAAAATGAAGTCATTAGGATTTTATAGTGAAATCTTATTTAGCGTATTTATTAACTGCATGGGTGTAATACTGTTTTTACAGAGAAAAATCAGTGTATAGACAATGCACAAGACATTTTGCTTAATTCTCGCGTGCATGTGCTGGGATGGAGTGAATGAATGTGAGTAATTCATTTGCAACACATTACATTATTGTTGTCTGGGCATCTGAAGTGATAGGATGGAAACATAATTCCTACTTCCCGTCTTGGATGTGTAAACGACCTCAGAATACCTGCTGTCTTCCTGGCAGCGGTGCACCTCTGCCTGCTGCTGTCTTTTTGTATATGTACAGTCTATGGTCGCAACGAATACGCACCACGGTGGCGCAGGGCTTGCTGGGAAATGTAGTTTTTGATGAATGGAAAATTCCAAGATAACCGTCCAGAGGAGCGAGTGGAAATTTACTCTGTCTCCCCCCCCTGTAATATGCAGAGACGTGTCTGCCTTGCAGGATGTTTTGTTGGAAGTCAACCATGTTATTCTCATCTGACTGCAGAGTCAGCTGACAGTCTTTATGTCATTGTAAGGTTGTCACTATTATAACTATTCTATTATATACAACAATATAAGGTGTTATTGTTGTGTCAAGTGAATGATATGGCATGTTATTTATGTTTATGTTTATTATCATTATTATTGGTAGTAGTGGCATGACAGTACTACAAATGGACCTGAAGGCTTCTATTGATAAGACTAAAACATGCAGACACACACATTTGGATGAAATTACCAGTAAAATAAATTAAATAGCTGCTGCAATATCTTTCATTAAACATTGCACAACACATGCACATGCAGAAATATTTAGGTGGGGGGTCTCAACGTGTTGCATGTATATTCACTTCATTTACATGCATTTCAGGGACCCATTCTGTATGTTTTTCCCCATAATGATTGGGGTTGGGAGCATTTACACCTATATTTAGTTGAAAATGATTATTACAACTATTATTATTAATAGAGAGTGACCTAGTTAACCCTTAGAAAAAGCATTACCTCATACAATCATGCCACAATACTTGCAGTGTGGTGGTTAGTTTCTTCACGTTGTTTGAAATCTTGGAGTCTAAAATGACAAGCATTTCCTCTCAATCACTACCTCAGTGTTTTCCAGCAAAAAACTCCATCTGTGCAAGATCACTCTGCAAAACGAAAACATGTGTTGTTGCAAAAGTTAAGTTTGCATAACTTAAGCATCTCTTATGGGCATTATTATTATTGGCATGTGGTATGAAATTCCATTGAAGTGAGAGAAAGCAAACTTTTAAAAATCCTTAACTATTCAGAGTGGCATTGGGCTCTTATAGGAAGGTTCTAGATTCTTCCAGTTTAGAAGCTTGATCCTATGAAAGCTGATTAAGAAGTTACAGTCTAATCAGTCTCTTTCTGGAAGTTTCTAGGATTTGCATGATTCCAGCAATGGTTTTAACAGACTCAATGATATGTATGTGTGGTTGCATGCAAATATGAAGAATGGGTTTTGTGTTTGATGCTGTAAAGGCTCAAAGTTCTCGAACAACCCTTCGGTTAATCATTAATATCTATATGTAAAGATCATGTGCAGTGTCAGTGAAATGTAAAATGTGCAGAGATGCTGTTATTAAGTTACAATCCATTTACTGCAATTTAAAAGTGTAATTTCTTTGTTAGTTTTAAAAACAGTGCTCTCTCTCAGTTTAAACGAGGCTGTGCAAAGTAGGTGTGTTCAATGGCTACTGGTTTCCTCTTTTTAACGCGGTTACTTAAAATACACATGTTGTAAGTATCCTGTAGTTAATATAAGCACGGGTCAGAGTGTCAGTCCGGGATAAATAGCAGGGCTGAGCTGTGGTAGGTGTTTTTCTGCACACAAACACGTCACGGGTGGGCTCCGCGTGTGGGGCGTGGGACTGAAGTGGCGCCTATAAGGAGCGAGGGAGGCAGCCGCCGATAGACGGATCCACAGGAGAGACACGGAGGAAGACACGGAGCTGCCGCCGGCTCATCAACACACACACACACACACTGACCGGGAGCAGTGAGACAACCCGAGTAGTGTAAGGGGCCGGACGGGAGCTCAAGGAGAACAAAGCCCACTTCTCATTCGCCTTCTCCGGCTTCTTCTTCTTCCTCATCTCCGCTGCGGGGCGTGGAGCGGAGCGCTTAGCATCTGTGACGCCGCTGCTAATGTGAGCCAGCAAGGTACACGTTTTCACGGGGGTTTGTTTGCGATAGAAACACCTGACCCGGTAACTCGGTGAGTGTGTGGTGACCACCTGAGCTTTTATTATCTATTAAAAAACAATGGTGATATTTGATATTTGTGAGCGTCACACCGTGCGCAGCCCGTTTTCTGTTCGGACAGTTTAAGTGTCATTGATCGTCACCTGAATGTCTGCATCTTCACACGGGGACAAAAAGCGTCACAACACCTGGGCGAACATCACGCACCGCACTCTCCGGTTGTTTTGTATGAAACCGTGTGTTTAACGCATTTAACGCATTCAGCACCTTGAAGGTTTGTGGCTCCGGATGAATGAGCGGCTGTTCTGGAAGTTTCCGTCAGGCCAGATTGGTGAGTGTGTGGACACTACGTGCCCGGCTGTGGTGTCGCATCTCCGGTTTTGTTTTCACAGAGGCAGCCTCAAGCTGTCAGCCACCGCTGCCCTTTTTTAATTAAAGCGTCATCTTATTATTATTCTATAGCACATTTATTCTGTCGTGCCACTGCTCCATCATGGCGTCAGCTGGCATCACCTGCGACCTGGAGTCAGTGGCGCAGCTAAGGTTTTTCTAAATCGGGATGGGGCACAATTTACTCATGGGGGGGCCAATTATTTGTCGGACATGCACAATTCCTGATTTAGTAAGGTGCATATTTATAAGGTGGCTGAGAGAGCTCAGCGCATTGCAAATTAAGAATAAACGCATGCACATTGAACAAAATACATGCAGATTAAGAAAAACACATGCACATAGAAATATATGTGCAAAGTAAGAAAATACATGCACAGTTAAGTGCAAATTAAGAAAACAATTCGACTACACGTGTGCTGCAAAAAGACACAACACGTGCACATATAGAAACACTCTGCAAATTGTGAGGACGACAACTTAAATGTTTCCAGGGGACCCAAAAAAGTCATGAATCTGGCTGTAGTTCAATGCTTTGTGACGTTCCCTCACCACTGATGAATAGCATCTGCTTTGTTAGCAACGCAACAAAGCATTGAACTACAGTCAGGTCCATCACTCTTTTGGGTCCCCTGGAAACATTTCCTGTTGCTGTTTTTCACAGAAAACGAGCAAGAGAAGTACAGCAGTAGATGGTGGTAATGCACATTGACGTTGGCTGCCGCTCGTAAATAAACCGAACAAAGAAGAAGAAACTCTCTAATGGGATTTTCATACCTGAAAGTTAGGACAATGGTGCGAACCAAGATTCATGTCTGTGTTACATTGTTAACATTTGATCCAATTCGTTTTTTCACATTGCAATTTAGAGAGTGGACAAAATAGTTTTGTATGGTATGTGTTTGTCACCATCACCTATGTGGGCTGCGTCTACCTACACATGACATTGATTGGTTTGTAGATGTGTCTCATGTCGGTCTGTTGTCAATTTGACCTTTATATTTTATACTTGAAACTTTTTTTTAAATGAAGTGCATTTTCATAAAGCGACTAAACCGGTTCATGTTGGTAATTTCGTTGCCACTGTGATATTATTATAGTATTACCTTTCATCTGAAGTTGGTGAACTTAAATAAGGGTTCAGTTATTAACTTCATGGGACTCTGTCTTACTCCTTTGTTTTCCTCTGCTTCATGGGTATCACTGTTTTTTTTGCCTCAGCGTTTGTTTTGGCATTTGAATACCTGCAACTAATGCTCATGCGACACTTTCTTAAGGTAGAGCTCCAGTTTCACCAGCTTCTGTTGCAGGAAGGGCTAGAATAAAAAAAAATAGGCCTGTTGATTTAATTTATTTTAATGGTGCAATTATTCGAATCAGCTTGGGCTAAAGTCGGTGTCTCTCACCATATTATTTTGGCAGCAGTGTGGGAAAGCGCTCTTTAGGTACATGCTGGCATAGGAGATGGTAGTGATTACGTTTAAATCCCTCAATATATAACTTACCAAATAAAATTATATTATTCTATTGGATGACATTTTCATGCTGTATTTTCAGAGCCAGGGAATCTTGGCCAGTATGTATGAACACACAGAGTTGTGGACGTTGATGAAGAGATGGTAAAACTGAAAACAAAGACTCCTTTTATAGAGAAAGATGGTCATGTATAAAGCCTGGTTGTGAAGATGGAAGGAGTGGAGTTATTTGCTGCCACGCATGGCAGACTTAAACCTCAAGAGAAGCCAGACATCCAAGTGTGTGCGCGTGTGTGTATCATTAACACAAACCAGATGTGCTCACACATCTACATATATTTCATCAGTTACTGACTAAGAGACACACATTTGATCCATCTCTTTTATCTCCAAGTATCTGTTTCATTTGAATTACACAGCAGATGTTAAATATGGAGCATACAGCTAAATGCAAGGTAGTGTTTTCCTTTCCAGCCAGAGGACACTGGGCTTTTCTTAATTTCCAAGCAATATCAAAGTCTATATTTGTTAGCATCAATGTAACTGAATTAGCTGTGTGTATGACGGATGATATTGCAAAATTTTAATTTGTCTTGGGAATTCTGTGGGTTTGGCTAATGTCCTGTTGGCATGTGGTTCCCTCTGTTCTGTATTTCTTCATGGCCTGAAAACCATAAAATGAAATGAAATCACGTGCCAGCTCAGATTGGCCATTTCCCCCCCAAAAAAATGCTTGAGACTATACAGGCGTGTTTTGTAGTTTTGCAAGATTTTCAAAATGTTAGTAGTGAGACCACTTGTTGAGCAATGTAGGGAATGCATGGTCCTTTGGATAGATGCTGTTCATCCTTGCCTTTTTCTTTCTTACATGACGATATGCTTTCTTTGAAGTTTATACAGTGGCACAGTTCTTTTGTGTTTTAAAAATACTTACTAACAGAATCCCAGGCAGGCTAAACCCAAAGACTAGAACAAATATTGCAGTTGCAAAACCAACTTTTTTGATTAGCATCAGCAAAAATAATCTGTGTTTGGTTTATAAAGTGATAATTCTGATAATTTATGTTATGGATTGTGACACGATGTTTGAGTCCAATAACTCCTGTTTTCAGAGGGTTGTTGTGACCTTGTTGGCTGTTTTCCCTCTCAAATCAAGGCTCTAATGAGGTGTTTTTCTTTGTCTTTGCTGTCTTGCAGGAATGTTAAGTCTAGGCTTTTCTAGACCAGAGGCCTACAACATCCTCCTCTAAATCTAGAACGACCTCAGTGCCGGTGGATAACCCCATCCGAAGCACACCTAGTGAATTTGAACTGACAGTGGATACGACAGTCTCCATCCAGACAGCAAACCAAAGCAGAGCATTTCCATTGCTCCATTTTTATTATTCAAACCCATAACTTTGATTATTTATATTCCTTTTTGTAAGGATTCCATTAGCTGTGAACTGTACTTCCTTAACGTATATATTTTTGAAAGTAATCTATAAAAATGAGTCCTGGAATGGAAGCAGCGGACATTGCTGTGGTAGCACTGTATTTTGTCCTGGTGATGGTCATCGGGTTTTTTGCCATGTGGAAAGCAAATCGCAACACAGTGAGTGGCTACTTCCTGGCTGGACGCTCCATGACATGGATAGTGATAGGTGCATCGCTCTTTGTGAGTAACATTGGCAGTGAACACTTCATAGGACTGGCTGGATCAGGAGCAGCAAGTGGCTTTGCTGTTGGAGCATGGGAATTTAATGCACTTCTACTTCTGCAGCTGCTTGGCTGGGTGTTCATCCCTGTGTACATCCACTCAGGAGTCTACACCATGCCCCAGTACCTGTCGAAACGCTATGGTGGCAACAGGCTAAAGATTTACTTTGCTTTCTTGTCTATTATGCTGTACATTTTTACCAGGCTGTCTGTGGACCTGTATGCTGGAGCTCTTTTCATTCAGGAGTCCCTGGGGTGGAACCTTTACCTGTCTATAGTCCTGCTCATCAGTATGACAGCATTACTCACTGTCACTGGGGGACTGGTGGCAGTACTGTACACGGACGTCCTTCAGGCAGTGTTGATGATAGGTGGAGCCTTAACCTTAACCATCATCAGCCTAATGAAAGTGGGTGGGCTTGAGGGTGTCAGAACTAAGTACATGCAAGCAGTTCCCAATGTTACTGCTATATTAGCTACTGGAAACTTCACGTATTCTCCTTCCTGTCGCATTGAGCCTAAACCAAACTCGCTATACATACTTCGAGGTCCTCTGGACGAAGATATCCCTTGGCCAGGCTTCATTCTTGGCCAGACCCCTGCATCTATATGGTACTGGTGTGCAGACCAGGTCATTGTGCAGAGAGTACTAGCAGCAAAGAACATTGCTCATGCAAAGTGCTCCACACTCATGGCTGGATTTCTCAAGATTCTGCCCATGTTTGTTATAGTCATTCCAGGAATGATCTCCCGTATCCTATTTGCAGATGAGATTGCTTGCATCGGTCCAGAGCACTGCATGGCTGTGTGTGGTTCTCAGGCTGGCTGCTCTAACATTGCGTATCCACGCCTGGTCATGGCTGTGATGCCTGTGGGACTCAGGGGTCTGATGATGGCGGTCATGATCGCCGCCCTGATGAGTGATCTTGACTCAATCTTCAACAGTGCAAGCACCATCTTCACCCTGGACATTTACCAAACTGTTCGGAAGAAGGCTGCACAGCGCGAGCTGCTGATTGTTGGCCACATGTTTATTGTGTTCATGGTTGCCATCAGCATTGCTTGGGTCCCTGTTATTATTGAAATGCAAGGTGGACAGACATATCTGTACATCCAAGAAGTTGCTGGCTACCTGACTCCACCAATTGCTGCCCTCTTCCTGCTTGGTGTGTTCTGGAAACGTTGTAATGAGACAGGTGCATTCTGTGGGGGCATGACAGGCTTTACACTAGGTACCACACGGCTGATTTTAGCTTTTATCTACCGCCAGCCTCGCTGTGACCAGCCAGATGATAGGCCTGCCTTCATCATCCACATTCACTACATGTATTTTGCGGCTGGGCTGTTCTGGATTTCAGGGCTTGTCGCGGTGGTGGTCAGCCTCTGTACCTCCCCACCAGATGAGGAGCGGGTTCGCACCACCACAGTCTGGGGGCTCCGCAATGTTGAAAAGGTTCCTGCAAAGGACCGAGAGGAAATGTACACGCTGACTGATCAGGGCCATCATGATGTTGATGGAAACCTTCTCAAAGAACTGCCCCCAGATGTCAGAAAGGAGAGGTGTTTAGATGGGGCGAATGTTAAACTCCTTGTCCCATCCACTGACCATGACCCAGCAACACCTAGTACAGAAACCTCCCCTGCAACCACCCCTGCAGAACGATTTGGTAATAGCAGGATGGAGATGATCAGAGCAGAGGACGGCTGCCATGGGAATGGGGAGCGTAGCAGGTGTACGCGTTTCCTTGACTGGATTTTTCCAAATAAGGATGTGGCACAGAGTGCTCAGCCAAAAGTGTCGCAGGAAGATGCAGTACTCATTGCACAGATGCTGTACGAGTCCCCTAGAGTCAAGCTTCTCCTCAACATGGGTCTTGTATGCGTCTGTTCTGTGGGTATCTTCATGTTTGTTTATTTTTCACTCTAGCTGAACCTGGCACTAACCTAAGTGGGAATAGTGTGGGTGCTTTTTATGAAGCTGAAAGGTGCGTGGGTGGTTTGGGTGCTGTTAACAAACTGTCTGTAATATTTACAGTTGTCTTTGGTAGTTCTCTAACAAGGATCTAAGCTTATTCTAATCATTTTTTTAAATGATTAAAGCTTCTATTGTCTTCTTTATGACTATGACGCTTATTTGGCACTGCTGTGTCCATTTTGTACAGTGCTTAGTGTTAATCCTGCAGAATATCTACTGGGAGTTTTAGAATCAATGTACTCCAAGTGAATTTTAATATTTGCCTTATTTGACATACGCACTTGTCTTTTTGTATGGTAGAAAACATGTAATGTGTGGTTTTAAACCTTTTTTATTTCTGTTGATGAGTGTTAGCATACATGTCTGTAGTAACTGAAACAAACTTTAGGTTTTAGACCTTGAAAGTTTTGTACACTATGATTATTACAACAATTATATTATTACAATTGCAATTATGAATTATGTTATTACTATTTAGTTTTAATGTGTCCTGAACCGTCTTTTCAAGGTTAGCAACTTAACTGATAAATGTCCAAATGATTTTTTTCTGTAGAAAGTATTCTATTCAAGTGTCTCCTTAATAAGGGGATCTGTCTGATTGACTCATTTATAAAATAATAGTAAATATAAAATGTTGCTTCTCCGCTGGTGTTTGTTTATGGTGATTGATAATATTCACTGGTTTGATTTATCCTCTTGGAGGCTTTTCATCAAAAATAATTGTGTCTAGCTTACAGTTAACACCTGGTATTTCATATTTACATATTTTGTGGCACATAGAATGGAGTGGATAAACTTTTTGTTTTTAAGATTTTTTTAAGCTAAACTTAATATTGTGTGGTATTTCTTGTCATTTTTCATTGGCTGTTACTTGTGTGTTTGTCCCTGATGACCATATTCTAGTCAAATACCTCTAGCTGTACTGGTATTTTTTAATGGTTTAAAGTTTTGGTTGGTATGGTTTTTCTACTACTGTGGTTTGTCTTTTTCTCTTAATCTACTTCTATTCTCTTCATAAGAAACAAAGTTCCAATGTTCATGATTCTGTATCAATTTACATTTTATGTAGATTTCATTTTATGTTTAACATCGTTGAAAAGTGTGTCCAACATAATACATGGATCATTGCATCGCTGACAGTAAGCCTCTTTAGTAATCTGTTTTGAGTTGACTATGCGTCAATGTACCTTTTAGTGTCATTTAATCCTGTTTCAAGTGCAACTTTTATAAACCTACCAAATGTGTCTTAGTGTGCAAAAAATGTAAGTGACAAAAACACAAAATAAGTTTTACATCTTGAAAATGTTTGTGCCGTGAATAGCACTTCTCTTTATAGACGGAGTAAATCAGCTTAGCCACATAGTGAAGTACATTTTCAGTTAGGTGCTTATCAGCAGAGGACGATGATGCAAAGCAGACAGTGCACTTCAGCCGTTAGGATTAGCACATTACTAGATTAGTACACTCATGACACTTTCAAGGGTAATTTAACCAGGTTAATAAAATGACTGGAATTCTGGATTGTGCTCATTCTTTCCAGAGTGGAAGGTGACCAGATCTGAACAACAGCCGCCACCAGAAGAAAAAGGGTAAAGCGAAGTAAACAATGTCGTGTTTTGTAATTTAATAGAGGTGTTAAATGATCTCAGTCTGAAAAATGTGGTCATAATGTGACCTGGATAAATGATGCACAACATATGGAAGATCAATAAGTAGTGATTGCTGTATGCGAATGAGCTTTAAAAATCTTTCTCTCTTTCTTCCTTTCTGAGAGAATATACATTGTCATTTTTATGGATTTTATTTTTAAGAGACTGGAAATAAAGAGAGACAAAAAAGACAAACGTGTTCTCATTCTTTATGTTGTGACACTGTTTACTTTCTCATCAAACTGGCTAACATAAAGTCAGTTTTGTGTGATGCAAGTTTTTATTTTAATGTCATTATTTCCTGTAAATTCAGGTGATTTATTGACTTGCAGTGAATTAAAGAATGTTGCTAAATCAGAAACATTCTTTATTCATCATGTGATTATCCCCTGGATCCAAGTTGTCAGGAATCAAAGCATCTGTTTTAAAGAAATAGTCGAATTATTCAAAGTTAGACCAGATAACACATTGCAATTTATCTAATGTGGTTATGTTGTTATTGACATTCACTTTACAACTTCTGAATAACCACATTGTTCTCCAAGTGACATTTTGCAACTTGCTCTGGTATTAAGTGATTAAAATGTTGTTTTCAAAACTCAAAGGAATTACTTGGTTTGGATAGTAACAAAATTACCCTCCTATTCAGTTTTTTTCTTTATATTTTGGGGCTTTCTGTTACTGCTTGCCAGGATTATATAAAATCCCAGCAAGGCTTTATTAACCTGATCAGAGCCAAAAGAGTTTTGGGCGATACCAGGATTCTTTTCACAAGATTCAACCAATCAAAAAGCCAGGATCAGTGCCACAAATCTCAAATTCTTACCAGTTAGTCGGTCCATACAGTCAGACGTTTTTCATACAGTTGGTTAATGTGATGTGTAATACACTGTTTACAAGAGTGACAAATGCAACACTGCAGAATAAATCTCATTTAGTCAAGAGGTTGGCATTTAGAGTCCGTGTTCCGTGTTTGCATTTAGACAGTGACTCATATCAATGAGGGGAAATGTGTGAGTCGCAGCATCAGAATAAACTGGGAAAATGACCTGAAGGTTTGTAACAGGTGTCTTGAGCGAAGCATGTAAATAAGTAACTTTGTTAGTTTGCTAAATGGAAAGCTTTAGTTTATTGTGACCTGAAAGCCCGACCTTCAGTTTCTCACATGGTCAAAACAAAAAGCTCTTGCACACATGCTGCTAACTCATATTAATATAAATCATGAGGGTTATTCATTTAACTTTTGTTTGACAAGTATCACGCCCCATTACACCCTTGGGGCATATATCATTTAAATGACGTTGAAATACTTTGAAGTATTGTTACTGAATAGATCAAACATTGGCATCTTCTTTTTTGCTACTCAGGTATGGTTTAGTGGAAAATTACAAAGAGCATTTATTTAAATTCTGTACAAAAACTGACAAAATGTTGAAGTTAGCGTCAAAAATAGGAAAACAAACTATACTGTTACTTAAATAAAGTAATTATAATGATTCATGTTTTTCTGTTACAATAAAATACAAGTATTTATGCTCAGCAATGCTTTAAACTTAATGCTAATGCATCTTAATTTAGCATTCTGATATTTTGCAAGAAGTAAAATGAAAACAAAACTATGGCTAAGAAAAATAGGATAGTCATAGTTCTGTTTTAAAGGTTTGACCTGATGCTGCCCAGGGGAAAGCCAGGGGATTACCAAAGCCATTGGTGTTAATTCTGAGGGGAACATGAATGCGTGTCCCAAATGTCACAGCAATGCATCACACAGTTGTTGACATCTTTCACTCGAAACCACAAGGGTGAGAGTCATGAGAGGAAAAATCAGTGAATCACAAAAGTCATGAGGAGACATCATCCGGGCAACATGAATGTTTGAGTAAAATCTTAGGTTTCACTGAAAGGGAAAGTGTCACCGGCAAAACAGGAAAATACACAAGAGCCAGTGTGATTCATCCTCTGGTGACCACGAGTTTCTGTACAACATTTCATTCAAATCTGGTGAGTCGATGTTGGTCTGTCTGGACTAAGGTGGTGAAATGCATGATTGAGTGACAGGCTGTTCAGTTAATGAAAATATTACTGTAAACTTCACTACATGTACATTAAAGCTGTGATCAGTAGCTTAGCTAAACAATCAGATTTTAGATACAAATCTATCAATCCATAAAAAATGGGTTTCATTTTCAAAGGTAAACCTGAGTATTTTTTACCTTTACCGTAGATAGAGAACATGTCTCCACGTCCTCCCACTGTCCAGAAATTAATCCAAAACAACCAAGATACAAACAGCCATCTTGCACATTCGTAGCACAGTAGTGATCGGGGGATGGAGCCATAGTAGCGAGGTCCTGCCGATACAACACTCACCAGATCGCAAGTCAGTCTTGATTTTGCTTGAAACCAAACATACTGGAAAAAATGAACATTTGTATAAATATCATACGATTACAATCACTTACAATGGTAGAAACCATTTTACCAACCTAATTTTATTTGATGTATTCTTCAATCAGCCACAAGGGCAGTCCAGGCATTAGAGTCGTCAAGTCGCCCATGCCTTAGGAAAATACCAGTAATGGAGTATTTCATAATATGGTGTAAATAATGCCTCCACTGTTTATTTAAACTGTACTAATGTATATCTGTTGTGTAATAGCATTAATCTAGTGAAAGCACTACCTGTGCTTGTGTCTCCTTTCTGAGGGTATCAAGGCTGCAGGCCACGACTACATCCCTCTCGTGTTATTGTTATTTTCCATCACTGCTGTAACCACATGCCTTTAGTTTGACAGCACTGTAACTCAAACTAGCTGGAATCTTCTTTATCGTATATCACTCCAGCCTTGTTACACATCTTGCCTGCTCCTCCACGAGCCCCCAGTCGACTCGTACCCTCCCTCTTTCCCAAGAAGAAACTAATGATATTGTCCTTGTGGAAAAGTACTGGCATCTGGGCCATGCTTTGTTCATTGTCTGTTTTGGACGGCGAGGACAGAAACAATAGTCTGAAACAAATGGCTTCACAGTGTCGGAATCATGATATTATTAGATGGGGCGAATTGGTCTGCATGCTGTGCAATCTTTCATTACTTATGTGCAACGTGCCTTAAAAATTTGATTTACAGTTAAATGATTTCATTAAAATAATAGAAAACGACATTGTGAACGTTATTGTGCCTCCAGGCGTACTGAGCAGGACTTTACAAATTAAATATCAGGATTCTGTTTTCTTACTCCTCATGATTGGGATTTGTAATCTTTTGGCCGGGGATGTGAAACACAGACCGGTTCATTCATGTCCTGAGCTGAACCATCGGAGGCAGCGCTTCCTGATATGTCGTCTGTCTCCCACCTCCGACAAGTTGTTCAGGTTAGATTGATGGTTGAAATGAGGCTTAGTGCTCACAAAGCAGACAGGATTAGAGGCCTTAGACATTCAAGTCAGGACAAAAAGATAAAACATATAGGTATGATTGCCTGAGACTGCAATCGTTCAAATATCTGCAGTACTGGTGTCTTTTCTCCTGCAGCCAGCCCTTTATCTGCCTCTGCAGGGCTGAACAAGCACAGGACCCACTTTTCCATTTGTTTTTACAACCCCCAAAAATTCCACTCTACCACCAGCAGCTGTATGTTCAATAAAACGAAAAAAGTATTCAACATCTTGAAGTAGACAAGATATGCAAAAAGACTCCCTGTGATGTGTGTGAAGGCACACCTGCATGAAATGTTATCCCAGAGAGTGAAAAGTGATATTCAGTCAGCTGTGTTGAATAATTAAGTCCCTCCAGTAAAGGATCGTTAAAAACTAGATATCCTGTTCCTACGAAATACTTACAGTATAATCCTTCTTCCACATTCCACTATTGTTACTCTCTTGTTTTCTTAGGATTAAGTGGGAACCAGTAACATGATGCAATTACATTGTAAATTCAGGGGATTAACATGATAAATGTTGGGAAATTTACACTATAAATCATTGTCAGTGTTCAGTGTTGACTTCCTAATGTCTTCTAATTATCTCAGTACAGCACTATTGAAACTCCCCATCTCTCTCTCTCTCTGTGTGTGTGTTTGTCATCATGGTGAAATGTGGTCCCTGGAGACACCTACTGTAAAAGTGACTATTACAGATGCGGGTTTAGGTACTTTGACAAATGTTTACGTCTGTGTGTGTGTCTATGGACAGATTCTGTCATAGCAATAGACCATAAGCACACAGCGGCCATTGTCCTGACATCACACTCAGGGTGGGAAGCTCAAATGCTGTTATGAACAGAATAATGTCGTACTGCTATCCACCCTCAGTGCAAACTATACTTTTAATACCAGCTGTAAGCAGCAGTTGAAACACATTGTAGTCTGCTCTTTCAGGCTCAGGCCTGTCATAAGATGTGTCACACTTTACTAAAGCAAATCCTTCACTTTCATTCTTTATTCTTTATACCAGTGATGGAATCAGGTTTTATGAGTATTAAACAGATCCAACCTCCATCTACCTCAGGGGATTTTATGATAGGATACTTTAAACATATAGGAACTTGTCCACGAAGCCTTATTTGAAAGTGTAACCTGCGTAGTTTGGCATTTGTACACGTGTCTGCCAATGTCTCGTCTGTACTGGAAATGCAGATGATTTATTAGAAAACATTCCCTGACTTCAACACTATGCATTTAGGAAAATCATTGGAGAGGAAATATGATACTATTGAGTGAGCATTGAGTGTGTAGTCCTATAAATGATCTTACTTATTGTATCATAGTTTTCAAGTGATGGATTTCCTCTACAGTGAGCTTGCTATTTCTGTTACTATATGCTGAAGCAAAAATTCTATATCTTCTTTTCTGTTTGTTTCTTTTTGTGTCCAATAACTTTTTGGTATTTTCTGAATCCAGCCAAACGGTCCATTGGTTATTCACCCACTCTGAAAGTTTAAAACCATCACTGATGTTCATGCTTATTGGGGTGACAACGGAAGCAGCCATGAAGGGAATGCGATGTGACCTTTCAAATATACAGCAAACACATAGTCAATGCATTCCTGTCATTCCCCATGCACAGCCCTGACTAAACTATGGTGGCATGCCTGGGTATCTTGCATTAATCCATGAAATAGCACTTCAATGGCAAAAGGAAATATTTACCTCTTTTAGTAATAACAGCAGGAAGAATAGTGTCTAGGGCCGCAACATAGTGAATGTGAATCAATGAGGCATAAAGCACTGAGACCTTTTCCCGTCTTTCTGGGTCAGACTCACCGTTGAAAACAACATTCTTGAGTAGTGACAGATCGACGCTGCACACGGCGGTGCTGTTATCTGCTCATAACGAGTTTGCCGATAAAGAAACAGTTATTGATAATGATTGAGAAAGACAAAAAAGCAGAATTATCAGGAGCTGTCATTCGCCATAATGGAAGTGGACGATAACAATTCTTATCACTCGTCTCACGTGTTCCTGTAATAAGACTGGACTACGAACTTTGCCACAGTTGGATATGGGATGGAAAAGTTTTAGACTGGTGAGAGGGAGACAGAGACCGCTCAGGTGGAAAGTTGAGCATGGAAGGTTTCTCGGGTAACCCCCTACAGGACCTGGACTTTACTCTCCTTCCACCAAGTTTTGCAATTTTCTTCAGGGAGTGTCATTTTATTGAATCATGGTGAAATGAGTGGTTGGTGGCATTACAATAAACCTTTTGCATCATTAGACACACATGATGGTGATATTTGTCAGGTAAAAACCTGACATGAAAAAGGCTTTAAGCTGAAATACGTCAGAGTTTAGATTCAATATATGCATGCCATGATGATGTTAATTGTCTACATGAATCCCATAATGCATTTCCATGGGAAAACAGAACATTTTGAAAAATCTCACAAATTTAAAGCAAATGCCCTTCAGCAGTGGATGAAATATTTGAGAAAGAGCATGGGGGAAGAATTCTGCGCTAATCATCAAATGAGTTTCCACCAATGCCAAGAAATGCTTTGTCTTGAGTTAAGGCGAATCCAAAACATTGGTTGAGTTTAGATTTAGCTATGACAAATAAAAAAAGGTCTCTCAACAAAAAATGTAATAACAGCGAGTCTCTGATGAACTCTTTTTGCAATCTCTGCTTTGAACATGTGGAACAGATTCATCCTGGTTTGTGAATTCCACACAGACATTAGACTCCATAATCATTTGGAACTGAATCAGCATTCATCGCTGCTCTTGTTATTTACCTCCACAGCGGCTCAGGGAGATAACGGGAGTGATCATCATCTGCTCTGAGAAGAGGGCGTGGTGTAAATGGGGCAAGGAGACTCAACCACATGTGTGGAAAAGTACTGCTGTGTTGTTGTTGTTGCCTCATATCAAATTAAAACAGAAGGGAGAGATGCGGAGGAATCTCAAGCAATGCATTTGCATTAAAAGTACAGATTAATCATTCGTAAAGTATGATCATACGAAAAGTTATTCCCTTGAAGACCCAACCGTCGTTCTTACATGAAAACCAGGTGCGTGACTGTTGTGTCCAACCAACTGAACAATCATCGAAGTTGTGATTGTTTATGTAACCGTGTGCGCTGACTCCTCTGACTCAGAACAGTGGTTTGTGTCAACTCTTCATGAGTTTGCCTCAAAATATCACATACGAACACAAACATGAGGTGGGCTGTTCCTACATGTGTGCATTAATAAGTGGGCGTGAGTATGTAGCTTTCATGCGTCTTTGTGAGAGTGTGAATCTGTATTTCAGATTTTATGTAACATTCAAGCCCAGCAGGGGGTTTATGGTTCACTGTCCCTCTCTTTGGAATTATGTCTGTCTGGCCTTGGGGTTTTCTGTTGATGAAGTCACATGGCCTGTGGTTACCACGGTCACCGCTTCGCTGTCATTAGCTTCTTTAAATCCAGGCACTTAGATTCGATGTTCCTTGAATTTCCTCAAGTATTTGCATCAAATGAAGAGTTGTTACTTCAAGCAGAGCACCTTACTGGCTGGTTAGGACCAAGTTGAGCTGAAAGGGACGGTTCACCAAAAAATTAAAAGTCACTCACCACTATGCCGATGGAGGGGTGGGTGAAGTGTTAGCATCCACAAAACACTTTTTGAGTCTCGGGGTAAACAGTGTTGCAGCCAAATCCAATCCAATAATGTAAAGTAAAGATGACCACCTCTTCAAACGTAAAAAAACTACAGAAAAAAAACTAAAATGCCTCAATACTGCCTCTGTGCTGTCATCCAAGTGTCTGAGAGCCCCAACAATCAGTTTAGACTTGAAACTGCATCATTTACACCAGGTGTTGAGCCTAAAGCTTCACTGTGACCCACGTGCAAAGCGGCTCCAGAGGAGGATATCAGAGAACTAAAAACTGATGTATATGAAGTCATATCAAATGATTTGGCTGTAATGCTGTTTACCCCTGAAACTCCGAAAGTCGGCATAGCGGTTTTTAGACAGTGAGTGAATTTTCATTTTTGGGTGAACTATCTCTCTAACAATTATTGGCTCATTCGCAGCTACGTGACCAGTAACATCCAGTCGTTTTCGTGCACATGCACATGGTTTACGTTTCACACTTACTACTCTGCTGCTTACGCTCATGCTAACTATATTTACCGGCACCACAACCTCCCTATTTGGTGTTATATACTGTTTACATAACTAAGATTTAATGTTCATGTATTGAGGCGGATGAGTTTCCTCAGCTGCATCCTCAGCTGCTCTTACACATTGAAACAACAGAGCCTTTCTCTGTTTATAACCATCTACTGTTAGTGGTCAATTCCAACAATCTGACTGAAATGAGCCTTTGTACATTCCACTCCTCCTCTATTTCTGAATGTGTCTGTGCTCTCAATTCTTATTTGGCCTACTCTGTTGAATACACAAATTATATTATCTACCAATTTAATAGTGACGTTTCCAGTTCGATAACCAACTGTCAGATGAACAGATTAACAGGTGCCATGATCAGATAAAAGTGCGATGTAACAATTCTGACTTTGGGAGGTTATTGCATGGAATAAAAAGAATAAGATAATAAGAACAACCTTTGGGTTCCAGGTTGTAAGTGTTTGGTCATTGGGTTTGTTCCTAGGCTTATTTGGTTGTAAAATAACTTGTCAATTGATTAAACCTATAACAATTCCTTAATTAAAAGTTATTTACAACTTATAAACCCTTAAGAAGTGTCTCATTAGCAAGTTTTAAAAATATATGCTGCTGAATAATGTTTCTGCTGTAACCTGGTGTAATTCTAAATCATTAAACATGGGAAATGATTGTGAAAAGTGTCAGATGTCATGCTCCCTCACTGTCAGTTCATTTTAACAGACTTTGTGTTGAAACGTTCTTTCTTCACTCTGGGCCAGTGGCTAAAATCCTGATGTTTGAAAAAAAGAAAAGTTGTGAAACATCAGATTACTGAGTTGCCGTATTACCAGGATGTTCAGATACTGAAAACTGATGAGAGAGGGGGAGAAACGGAGGGGAATATATATCCAGGGTCACTGGAAAAGACCAGTGTACACTTTGAATGACTCTACAATTGACCTATGCTGTATTTGCATGTGGATATCCCATTTGCATTGAACACTAACTTGAAGATTGTGCATGAGGAACGTAGTTGTATTTTTATTGCATGTTCTTTCAAATCAGACAATAACGTAACTGTTATTTTTCCCTCTTCTCCACCTCTGTACCGCCTGTGTCTTATTTTCTCAGGCTGTGGAATTTTACCTCTTGCAGCTCATTTTTCAGTTCCGCTTTACTGTGTGTGTGTCTGTATGTGTGTGTCTGCCCCTTTTGTGTCTGTGTGCTTTGTACTGACTGATCCATTTTTCTCTTGTTTCACTTTACAGAGAAAAAGGTCTGCAGGGCGTCCACCCGCTGGCACTGGAGAACAAAACATAAATAATCCGAGGTAGTGAAAGTAATGCTACGGTGGCCCTGAGGTTAAAAACACAACATCATCTTAGAAAAGCACGGCAACATTTCGAAAGTAAAACAACTTTGCAACATTTCGTAAAACACAATAACATCTCAGAAGATATTTAGAAAACAAAGCAATATTTCATGAAAAACAAAAATTCAAATATCTCAACAACATTTCACAAAACACAGTGACATTTGTTGACACGTGTTTTGTAAAATATTGTGTGTTTTCTGAAACATTGATGTGTTCTGACCCTCTGGGCCACCGTAGTGATCCACTCCAGCAGTTTAGCTCCGAAGGGCAGAAACTTCCTTCCTTCAAACACAAGATCCAGTTTCAAACATTCTTGTCAGCAAACAGATACCTGGCTTAACTGTCCTTGAACAAGACAATGGACGTGTAGTGACTCCAGGGTGCGGACAGTGATACCCATTACTTCAAATTAAGACCCCGTTTCAATTCTTCACTTCACAGACATTTACTTTTTTTTACAGAACAAACACAAACAATGTTAAAACAATACGTAAATAAATATATTTCCAACATATTTCCTAAAAAAATGTACATGAGTGTCAAAATCATCCAAAAATGTTTAGCATTATACTGCCACCTATAGGTAGAGATACAGCAAAGTTATTATAGAGCAACAATGTTGTCTTGTGCTGTGCTGCCTCTGAGTGGGAAGATGAGGAATTGCAGGCAAATAAAAAGCCTCATCCATTTACTATTTACTGTTTACATTTACTACTTTGTTGCTGCCATTTGTTAATGTTTCATGTTTGTGCATGTGCATGTGCATGTCTTTGTGTGTGTGTGTGTGTGTGTGTGTGTGTGTGTGTGTGTGTGTTATAATGACTTCCAGGCCACGCCAATTTTTGTCAACTGGAGGTGATATCAGCATTTTGAAGGTCATGCCGCAGCGTCTTTCCCTCCCTTACTGACGCAGAATGTCAAAACCCAGCAGAAAAGATAAAGAAAAGCAAACAACACATGAGCAGCGTGGGCCTGTGAAGCAGTGAGCGACACTGACTCTGAGACTTGCTGTAAGCAGCCGTCTTTGTTTTGGTCTTTTCTCTCTGTGGCAGTTCCTGACCTTCTGACAGATTTCACCATGCGGCCTCTGAAATCCTGGCAGCAGGTTGGTGCAGTATCGAACAGCTGAAAAAAATATAGCTCGATTTTCTTAATGTGTTCTTGAGACATGAGCAGCTTTCTCGTGTTCTCATGTGGTCGGCTGTAGAATTGTGTCTGAATGAGGGTGAGTTGAAGATAATTCATGATGATGGTAATAAAATCAATCTGGAGAGTGATAATGATTTTTTGGACTTCTTCTACATGTTGCATGTTGTTTTAATATTTCGCACATCACAGTTCCGATTATCTTTACTGTGGGTATTAAATGAAATGAATTCAAATAAAACTTATGTTTAAATCTTCTTTCTGTGCAAGAGTTTAATATCTGTACTTGTAACAGAATTCGGACACTCAGTTCACTTTACAGAGAAACTTTGATAAACAGCAAATTACAGAAAACCTTCCTGTGTTTTCCCTCTGACTAGATGAGGCCCTCTGATTGGTCCAACCTGACCCTTCACCTGGAGGAGTCCTTAACGGGTGCTCTGGGTCACTATCTTGACAACTGGAGGCATAACATTACAGCCGCAGCCAATGCTTTGGACAAGACACTGGCTGAGGAGAACTTCAGGGACGTCCTCTGGTATCTGGCCGTGATGATCGGCATGTTTGCCTTCATTATTGTGGCCATCCTGGTGAGCACAGTCAAGTCCAAGAGGAGGGAGCACTCGAATGACCCGTACCACCAGTACATCGAGGAGGACTGGACGGCTCAGATACAGCAGGGCGGGGTGATCTCTAACTTTGGAGTTTAATTACGCACGTTGATGCTCAACTCACTGCAAAAAACACCATTATCATCGATTACAGAGGCAGCAGGAAGTCTTAATGTATCACATGCTGGTCAGATTTGTAATCACAATAATAAAGTCTAACTGGTTCTGTAAATCTAACTTGTGGTTTACTTCTATGTGTAATTCCTTCCTTTCAATAATACAATAGACAAGGTGAGGGGTGTTCAGCTGCAAGATGCAAGTTCATGCAAACAGGTAGGCATTGTAAAATTAATAATGGCTGGATTCCATTTAGCTGCTTCATTTTCAGGGTTCTAGGTGTTGAGACTGTGATCCAGCGGCTCACATATAAAGTTCTACCTGCAGAGGGCAGCAGAGACTCTATCAAAGGAGCCATTGTACTTGAGAAAACTAAAGGGAAGACAAGAATAAAGGCGCAGCAGCTGCTATTTTTTTAGTTGAGTAGAAACTGTATCCATGGATATTAAAATATAAAGTTTCAGAGGAATATCTTTGAGTCAGTTTGCAGGTTTGTAAAGAGGAAAAGGAGGAAAATGAATAAGTCAGTTGACAAACGGGATTCAATACATTCAATTAAGACAAAGGTTTGCAATGAGCAAAATCACATCTAAATCCAAAAAGTTATAAATGTAATATATATGTTAGAGGATCACATCTGCAGGACATCTTCTAGAAGTGCTCCACTACACACAGAGTATAGAAGTTGTCCTTTACACACCTGTTGGAGGGTTGTCTCCTGAGCTGCTGCTTAAAATAGCTACACCACCATTTTCTACTCTGGCATCAAACCTCACATCCAATTGGTCCATCAAACATTAAACTCCTCGAAATACCTGCACCCCCGAATGTTTGGGGCTCGCTCCTCTAACGTCTCTGTCTCACTCAGACACAGAAAGTCCTGTAACTCACCATTAAACCCCCTCGCTGTTGTCCTCTACTATCTCTCTTTCTCACTGGCCTTTTTATTTTTAGAATTCAAACAACTGGTCTCCTAAAAATGGGCCTGTCCTAGGAGGAGTGCTGCTATGTATGGTATCCCCCCTCTCCGATACCTCACAGGCCCGACAGAGTTTCCCCTTTGCCTTTGTGTCTGCAGGGAGAAGGGGTGAAGGAGTGATCGTAGTGCGAGAAGGAGTTGCTGGCTCCTGAAGATGCTTTAGAAACTGAATTTCTGTGGACAGCTTGGGATGCAACTCAGGGACGTCTTGTAACATCTAAAACTCTCTGCAGCATTTCTCTCCCCTTCGGGTGACCCCTCTGGTCGTCCAGTTTTACCTTGTGAAACTATAGACCTTTCTTCTAAAATTCGGGAGTGTATTGGAACCCCGGACCATGCTCCCCCTGTGGTTATTCCTGCTCCCGTGCCTGAGCCTCCTTCCTCTGGCCCCGGCCAAGAAGGGCCTGGACTTTCCACAGTATGACGGGAAAGACCGTGTTCTGGACATCAATGACAAGAACTTCAAGAAAGCCTTGAAGAAGTACAGCATGCTTTGCCTGCTCTACCACGAACCCATACCCGATGGCAAAGAGCTGCAGAAGCAACACCAGATGACCGAGCTGGTGCTGGAGGTAAAGTGTTGAAAAGAAACAGGAAACAGGAAGCGAATAGGTTCAGTGTCAGGAGAAACTTATGGTGGCAGTGGTTTCCTCAAGGTCAGTGTACATGCACTGAATGCTCAGTAGTCCAGTGAGATGCAGCGCTGTCACTTAATGTTATCTCAGCCTAATTCAATGTGTGCTTCAGTCTGGTAGAAATGCATGAGACCAGTTCTCCCTGTGGCTCTCTCCTATTGTCAGAAATAGGCCAAGAGCTCGTGTGTTTTATGTTTTTGAGCTATTTATGCACATCAAGGGCACGACTGCCTTCTCCCCCTCCACCGGGGCTTTTTGTTAACTTGTCCAACCCAAAAATAATGGAGCTTGAGGGTAATTTGCATTGAAACTCAGCTAAGCAGCTGGTTTGGATGTGTAATTGATTAAATGGATCCCATAAAGTAGGAAACAAGTGGGTCCTGTCTCATGTTGCACATGGCCGAGGGTGAGTTGATCTTTGGTCCGTTGAAGGTAATCTGAGCCCGGCCATTCAGTCCTGATATTAGCTTCACTTATTTTGCCCAGCACAGTTGGGTCATGTTACTATAGAGTGAGGCCCCCATGTATGGTACAAAGAAAAGTCTGTTGCACATGAGTGACTGTGACATCAGTAAATAAAGTATCAAATATATTTCATATATATATATTTCCTTGATAATTTGTGGAAATTTGGAATTAAAAATATATATAATTCAGACCACATATTTAATATCTGACGTGTCTCCACTTACACTTCAAAAATTAAGATTAATCACACTGGTGCTGCCATCGAGCACCAGTCTGTACTGATTGTGGTATTGAGTCACAGTATTGAGGTCCCGCCCACACACACTCTCCACAGATTACGAGCCAGTCTCAGCTGTCAATCATGACATTTCATCCCAGTTTTATGCATCAAATAACAAATTAAATTTAACATGTAAAAAATGTAACTGTACTTTCCCCCGTCCACTGAAGGCTCCACATTAATCATAAGATAAACAACCTTGTTCCATTCCTGTGAGAATTATTTGTGGAGCAGAGTCTCAATCTTCATCAGCTCGTGGTTCATAGAGCAACTGCCAGAATAATTATTCTCGCTGGTTATATTTAGAACAAGGCAGTCTGGCTTATTATGTAACTGAGTCTTAACCGCTCCTGTGCAGCTTTGTCACCTCTGTCAGATTGCCAACTATGGCATTACCCCCCCCCCCCCTTAAGACCCAACACTGCAGCCAAGGTCTCAGAGTCAAATCATCATTTAAATGAACTACTGCTGAACTTTGACCACAAAATGAATTATTTCCCTTTTGTCTTTTTCATGACCTCTTTTGTTGTCAGGACTTTTCTTACATTTTACTTTCTGATGATCGCTTTGTTTTCCTCTGCAGCTCGCAGCTCAGGTTACAGAAGAGAAGGACATTGGGTTTGGAATGGTCGACTCCCACAAAGATGCAAAGGTGGCAAAGAAACTGGGTGAGGATTTGATGACGGCACAAACTTTATTCTGCAAGTCTCCGAAGAGGAATTGCTCCTGATCACAGTTATTTTTTCAAGCACCAAATAACTTCAGGATCAGAATTACATTAAATGAATGTAATTCATATCATTTTCTTCAATCACAGGTTTGGAGGAGGAGGGCAGTGTATATGTTTTCAAGGCCGATCGGGTGATCGAGTTTGACGGCCTGCTCTCTGCAAACACCCTGGTGGAGTTTTTGTTAGATGTGAGTATAGTCTGGTTTAAGGGCAGATTCCCAGCTGCTGGTGCTGATCAACAGCAGTGGTGCCACAGTAACAAGCTTCACACCAGAACTTCTCTCTCCTCTTTCTGTCTGTGTCTCTGCAGCTCATGGAGGAGCCAGTGGAGGTGATAGATAATGCTCTGGAGCTTCGGGCCTTTGACAGGATGGAGGAAGATATCCGCCTCATCGGTTACTTCAAGAGCGAAGACTCTGAGCGTGAGTCAGGGATTTCTGCACAGCTCACAACCTAGTTCGATCTGTGACGGGCTTTATGTGACCAGTGCCCTTCATAATTGCATGAGTGCACGTTAACCCCCTCATCTCCACGGATTTACAGGTCCATTTTTACCTCTAACATTCACACAGCTGCCACCGCCTCGTCCCTCCTCGCATGCACTAAGTCCAGAGTGGTTCACTTGTGGTGATGAGCCAAAGCTGCATCCCATCCAACCAACTGTGGGAGCATTAAGAGGAGGTCAAAGTTGAGCTATTTCCACTCCCTGATGCGCTAATGTCATGTACACAACAGCCACAGAAGCACAAACAGATGTATGATCAAGAAAATAGGAGGACAACAAAAGATAAAACAACATAAAAACACTATTTGGTTTATATAGCTCTTTTTTTGATTATTATTATTGGTTATAAAGTCTCTTGGACACATCAGGTTGGCATTGTCATCAGAAATCTCAGAATTTTGAAAAAAAACAAGCTTTATAGACAATATGTCTTTGTCAAATCATTGCATTATAGTTTTGTATATTAAAGTGCATCGATCCCTCTTAATCTGCATTTTTCTGACTTTTTATTTTTCCAATAATCAGTTTAAAGGTGTCATATACAAACTCAGATTTACCTCCTGGTTTTAGACAATATTTTGGCAAATTCCCTATCATCAAGCTTGACAGGCTTATTTGTCTTGTGGAAAGAAAACGTACATTAATTGGCTTCCTCTGTGTTATCATCTAAAATCGAAGAATTGATTTGCAATGAGAATGACCTTTTAGATTCTGTTATTCATCTGTACTTATAGTATATATTCTTCTATCTCTCTGTAGTTTTTTCTGTATACTAATATTTGTCCAATTTTCTCTTTTATTCTAATTTATAATCTGCATTTAAGATTTTCTACCACACCCCACACATATTTTAACATTTATATATTTTGTATTTATGTTGTATAAACTAAACTAAACTAAACTAGACTAAACATTAAACATCCTCCATGCTCCTTTTCTTCTCAGACTATGAAGCATTTAAAGAAGCTGCAGAGCAGTTCCAGCCCTACATTAGGTTCTTCGCCACATTTGAGAAATCTGTAAGTGATAAACAAACAGACAGTTGAACAAACTCGTCATCATTCTTAAGTGATGTGTGGTTTCTTCTCAGGTGGCCAAGGAGCTGACTCTGAAGATGAACGAGGTGGATTTCTACGAACCCTTCATGGAGGAGCCCGTCACCATCCCAGGAAAACCTCACTCCGAGGAGGAGCTGGTGGAATTCATAACCGAACACAGACGGTAAACGAAACAAATACTCCAAACAAATCCCTTTTTTGAAAAGATTGAGGTCTGCTGTATAAAAACAAAGCGTAACATCCAGTGTCTTTTCTGTGCCGTCAGACCGACCCTGAGAAAGCTGCGTGCAGAGGACATGTATGAGACCTGGGTGAGTGACGTCTGCTCGCCAACTTAGAATTGAGTTATTCCTGCTGCTCAACAGTAACAGCACAGTTTGCATTGGTTTTCTCAGGAGGATGATATTGAGGGCATCCACATTGTGGCCTTTGCAGAGGAGGAGGATCCTGGTAAGAGTCTGTTATATATCACACTGCAGTTTGTTTTGGATGAAGGACGTATGACTGCAGAACTTATTTACTCTAAACACTGGAGTATATTGGGAGCGGTTTTGTTTTGATGTTCAGTTTAGGTTTAATCAAACTTTCTTCAAATAAAACAACGTGTAGTAAGTAAGTGATGGTGAATGATATATGCAGTTCTGATTAAATAATGAAACAATGAAATGATACAATGCTAAGACTGTTAAACATTAAAATCAGAAGGTGAGTTTACCATTAAAGATATAAACATCTTTGACTGCTAAATTTAAAGGACAAAATAAATTAATTACTTTGTTGACAGAAACATGATGTAAGATCTTTATCAATGAGCTTTGGTGGAATAAAGGTTTTGAATTAGTTTTAAATCAGATGATATTGTTTGGTTTTACTTTCTTTTAGATGGTTATGAGTTTTTGGAGATCCTGAAGGAGGTTGCCAGGGACAACACTCACCTCCCTGACCTCAGCATCGTCTGGATTGACCCTGACGACTTTCCCCTGGTGAGCTGTGACATCTCTGCGCTTAAAACTTAAACAGGCACAGAGGAAAGCAGCGGAACATCCATCTAATTTAACTTCATGTTTTTATTGACTCACTTCAGCTGATCCCCTACTGGGAGAAAACCTTCAAGGTGGATCTGTTCAGACCACAGATTGGAGTAGTCAACGTCACAGATGTAAGTGCATGAAACCCTGACAACATATGTGTGATGATGTGAATGTAGTGTATTAGTTTCTCCTGACATGGGTGTGTGTGTGTGTGTGTGTGTGTGTGTGTGTGTGAAGGCCGACAGCGTGTGGATGGAGATGAAAGACGAGGAGGATCTGCCCAGCGCTCAGGAGCTGGAGGACTGGATCGAAAATGTGCTCTCTGGCAAAGTCAACACTGAGGATGACGACGACGACGATGACGACGACGACGATGACGACGACGACGATGACGACGACGACGATGACGACGACGACGACGATGATGATGATGACGATGATGACGATGATGACGATGATGATGACGATGATGACGACGATGATGATGACGATGACGATGATGATGATGATGATGAGGAGTAATTAAGTTATAAATCTTGACTCCTCAGTCTTTGCTCTTTGGACTGAGTTGGACATGGACTTGAAACAACTGTAAAGTAACTTTTCAC